TAGATGCTCCGTTTCTGTCCCGAACGACCTGACAGATGCATACATACCACAAATCAGATATTTCAGGGCACCTGCTGGGGTGGCCAGGGACGTCCTAAAGGCAGTCACTGTGACTTCAGGAGACGTGAGGCTGTGGGGGGGTTGGTGACCGCCCCTTGGTGGAGCTAGCATTTTCCCTGGAGCTTTGAGTAGGGGAGGAATTTGGCGAGACCTTTCTCGGAGGCAGGGGCATAGTGCAGGGTGCAGCGTTTTGACTGAGCGACGCTGTGAGAACGGGGTGGGGCATTGGCGGGGTGTTGTGGAGACAGTGGGAGATGAGGCTGGAAAGACATCGGACAAGGAAAGCATCTCGAAGGGCCTTGGATACATGTGATAACATAATGACATGATCTTTTTTTAAAAGAAAAATGTCTCCCTATAGAGTGAGTGGTCAGCCATTCATTATAATTTTTCTACCCAAATGCAGTTACAAACCAACACAACTGACTAGATAGATATTTACGCCTTCTTTCTCTGATTCAGTCAAAAATATTGATTGAATGCATACCTACTCTGTGTCGATCGTGATTTCTGTCCTCAGGTGCCCTGTGGGCCGGCGAGGAAGAGACAAAAGGCTATCTAGAGGGCACCATTTGCGAATACCTCCGAGGCGCAGGGGTTAGACGGCATCGCAGTGGAATTCCATAGTAGGTGGCATTTAAAGCTGAGACCTGAGGAGTAAACCGAAAGTAGGGGGACAAAATGGGGAAGAAGCAGAAAGGCAAAAACCCAGAGGCAGAGACGAACAGCAGGTCTGAGGAACAATAGATGGTTTGGCCTGGTTGAGGCTTTAGACTAGAGAGGGAAAGGTGTGAGGGAGGGTGCTAGAAAGGCATCGCACAGGACTCGTACCCCGAGTGTAGACTATTCGAGAAACAATGGGAGTCGTGGAGGATTTTGAGCCGGGAAGCGATATAATCAGATTGTGGTGGCTGCTGTTTGGACCGTGGATTTGGAGGGGCAAGAGTGAAAGCGAGACCCTTCAGGAAGGTGTTGCAATAATTCAAGGAAAGAGGGCGGCCAAGGAGAGGGCGGGGCAGGCAACGCGGTTTAGGGGGCTGTTCTGCCACTCAAGATGAACCTACAAAGTTCAGAAATGCATGAGGAAAATCGCACGGGAAAAGCCAAACCACAAGACCAGCATGGATATCAGCACAGTTAAAGTGGAGATACCAAAGGACTCCTGAAAAGGACTCTGAAATGACGGTGTGTAAGATCCCCAAGGACATGAATGGTGTGCTAAGATCTGTTCAACTATAATACATCGTCCGTGAAGAAAAGCAGAAATGAACAAGTACAGCAGGAAATGTGAAACCATCAGAAATATTCAGAATGAAAAAACACAGGCAACAAAATAAATACTTCAGTGGGTAGAATATTCTAGAATAACTGAGTACGAAAAAAAAAGTTAACTGGGAAAGAGTAGTGAGGAATTCCCCAAAATGCACCCTAGAGAAACAACTGTATTAAGAAGTAAAAATAAAAATGGAGAGATAGGAAGAATAACTCAAAAAACTTCGGCAGATAATGCTAAGAGTTTCAGAAGAAACCCTTCTGAAGGAGAAAAGAGCTGGGAATTTTCTAGAAATCATGAAACATTTCAGACTTCTCTCTCTCATAAGATTTCTGCACATGAAGATAAGTTCTCACTGAAGCTTGTCACAGTGAGACTGCACAATGCCAAGGACAAGGGCAGGGGAAGCTTTGAAAGTTCTCAGAGTTAGAAAAACAATGATTGCCTACAGAGGAGGGATATTTAGACACACAGCAAACATCTCTTTAGCAGCCATAGATGTAAGAAGACAGTGGATTAGTATTTTCAAAGTGCTGAGGGAAAACTGCAAATCCGCTAGTATAAATTTCTATAACCAGATAAATCGCCACTTGGAAGTGAGGGTGGAAAATTCTCCTGATTGCGTTGACTGTATGCCTTATCCAGACGGTTGTACAGAACATGATGGTTCAACAGCAAAGAAGGGTCTGATGCAATCAGACGCGATCGAACTCCATGTACGTGGCAGATCATCACTGAGTAAGCAAGGCTTGCCCTACGGTCTGACCTCTCCTTCTAAAAAACCTGCTCTCTGCAGCACGTGACTGACACTCTTACCCAGGATGCCCACCCCAGAGAGGACCAGACCAGGTTCACCCGAATGAGAGTGATTTGGAACTGAGGGATCATGTCAGTCTTGGAAACAGGGCTCCCGTGATTGTGGACGTGTGAGCAGTCATGCTGGGTTGAGACCCTGGGGCAAAGAGCCGTCACACCAACACCAAGGACCTTTCCAGCTTCCCCCTCTCTCCCAAAGGAACCCAGAGCTCTTGGCTGGGACTCAATGAGTGGGCACGTGATGCTCTCTAACTGGACTTCACCTTGCAAAGGGAGGCTTCTGCTTCTGGCCACGAAGGCTAACGAGGCTCAGACTTGCCCTTCTTCTGTCTGTCTACAACTAGAAAACTGGACAACAGGTGGCCCCAAGTCTGATGGAGTGAGCCCTTTGAGGGCTCAGAATTTCTGTCCAGGGGCACTCTCCAGCCCTGGAGGACACTGAAAGCAGAACACAGCCATCTCCTTGAGTTGAGGAGCAGAGAGACTAGAGCTCAGGAGGCTGCTGGCTGGCCTGACAGTATCGGGCGCTGGAAAAAAAAGGAGCTATGTAGAAACAAGGGCCCCGGAGATCTGTACCATGGTTCTCTGGAGTCTTAGGCTAATCACTGCATGCACAGGAAGGGTTAAGTCTCCAAGAGCTGGGCAAAGACCAAGTACTGGGCACTGTAAATAGCATAATTCCTAAAATCCTCATTCCATAGGGATGGAAGATGTCACCATTCAGGTCGATCAAAACAAAAACGAAGAGACCTTGACGCAGAGACCCAGGAAGTAGCAGGACTAGACCAGCCATGGGGTCAAGGGCTTTTCACAGAGATATGACCTGAGCTATCTAATACAAGAGCACTAGCCATATGTAGCTATCGAACCCTCGAAATGGTTTTGTCCAAACTGAGATGTGCCTTTTCATATAAATAAGATACATACCAGATTTGGAAGGCATTTGTATGAAAAAAATGAATGTAAGCTACCTCATTAGTACTTTTATAATGGTTATACCTTCAAATGAGAATGCTTCAGGAATAATAGGCTAAATAGAATTTATTATTAAAATTAAATTTGGAGCGACTGGGTGGCTCAGTCAGTTAAGCAACTGACTTCAGCTCAGGTCATGATCTCGGGGTCCTGGGATGGAGCCCCAGGATAGGCTCCCCACTCAGCAGGGAGCCAGATTGTCCTTCTCCCTCTGCCCTTCCCCCTGCTGATGCTCTTTCTCTTTCTCAAATAAATAAATAAAACCTTTTCAAAGTTTTAAATTAAAAAAAAGACGGAGGAGTGCCTGGGTGGCTCAGTGGGTTGGGCCTCTGCTTTTGGCTCAGGTCATGGTCTCAGGGTCCTGGGATCAAGCCCCGCATCGGGCTCTCTGCTCATCAGGAAGCCTGCTTCCCCCTCTCTCTCTGCCTACTTGTGATCTCTCTCTCTCTGTCAAATAAATAATTAAAATCTTTTAAAAGAGAGAGAGAGAGAGAGATAGTCCAGTGGTCACAAAGTAGCCAGAATGGAAAGTATGCAGGAAAGAACATTTTTCAAAATCCCCATTTAGCTTTCTTACCAATAAAACCTGACCTTTGAAATAGTGACTTTCTTATGCACATTCACGGCCCAACATGTAATCCTCTTGTGATGTATCCTGCCACGACAAGTAATTATGTGCTATTTGGGAGAGGTGTTCTTGGCCAGAACAGCCAATGGAGGGAATTATGTAACTACTGAGAGGACTTTACAAAGGAGGTACTTTCTGAGAGACCCAAGAGAGAATTCGAGATTCATAAACAGTTTACATTAAGCTGTCGTTACAGAACAGGGAATCAAAAACAAAAAACAAGGCTCCACCAGAAAAGACATAATCATAAATGTCCAAAACGTGATTTTAATTAAATATTTTATATTTCCAAACATAAGGAAAAAATATCTTCCAACAACAGAAGTTCTTTAGGTAGTTCTAAATGCTTGTGTTAGTTTGGAGCATGCTTCCGTTTACATCCATATAAATATAAATAGTATTTATTAAGCTCCATATTTAATACAAACTTCTGGAAGTGTTTAAATGGAAAAGTGAGGAAGGAGCAGTGGGGAGAGGGGTTTGCTTGCCTCAGAAGCGACCGGGAATCACAAGAGACAACCCTAAAACCTGAAGACGATTTCACCCTTGCTGTGTACGAATGGCATTTGTAGTCAGAGGACACAAAGGGAGTGACTGAGCACTTGGTGAGGAACAGGACAAAATAAGACTTTGGTGGGTTTGTGGGTTCCTGATACATCACAGAGCTACCTTCCGGAAGAGCGGTTAGTCTCCCTAAAACAGGCTAGCAGTTTCTAAGGGCAGCCATGGTTTTAGGGGATCATGAGGTGTTTCTCACGCAGCACTTTTGGGTGTGAGGGTGTACAGTCAAGATACATATCAGAGAGAAAACGGAGAGACAACAACACCCCAGGAATACTTTCCTGATGAAAATGTCCAAAAACCTGAGAAATAAGTAGATTATCTCGATCCGGTTAAATGGTATTCGAGTAGAAAATATTCAAGCATTAGAAGTCAAGTTTGCATTTCATGAGTGAATTCAAAACTGAAATATTTCACACCGAAATGTCAATAATCTGTGCAAAGATCTTTGAGATAGACCCTTATCAAATTCTTTATTCAGAGGTGCATGCAAACTTGTTTCAGATCCTCTCCTCTGGAATTGCAAAATGCACAAAAATAGTACTGTCTCTAGAGTCGTCGTGGAGCCGGAGAGCTAATGCAGAAATCAAGTAGGCTTTCCAGTGATGGAGACATGGCAACCAAAAGTCACAGCTCCTGTTGATTAGTGGAATGGAGTCAATCTGCCTGCAGACATTTCTCTTCTCACACACCGATGCCGTCATACCCACACCCTCCCCTTAGATACTAGAGTGTGTTCTTAATCTTCTGTCCTTTGCACACAACTTGTACTCTTCATGTGACACTGAATTTACTTTGAACCATTTCTGTCTTCCCAACATCCTTGAGGTCAGAATCCTGAGAGCCTCAGAACCTGTAAACATGCTAGCTCTACAAATCTAACAAATGAAACACACACGCTATAAAAAGCCAAGCAATGTTTACAGTCCACAGCTAGTAAGAACTTACTAAAACCCTAATTTTTCTTTCTATCAACTCGTGTCTGCTCAGGACTGAGTTATACTACATTCTTTTTGCCTTTGGCCAAGCTTTATTTTTTCTTTTCATAGTTTGAAGTTTTCATTTTCAAGTTAGCTAGTACTGTCCTTCTGGATCATTTCTTGAATTCTCTCTGCTAGTTCACAAAGATGGGCTTTTCTGAGGCCTCTAAGTAAATTGTAATAAGCATCTTTCCTCCCGTGGACTTGGTACCAATTACGCAGCAGTTGGACTTTTTGTTCTGCTGTGTCTTGGAGGTTATCATTCTTAATTTCATCTATCTTGGCTTCGTTGATACCATTCTTCCGAACAAATTCTCTGACTTCAGTTATTTTCATTTGTTCAGCAATAATAGTTATATAGGTATTCAGGTCGACGTCTGAAAAATAGAAGACAGTCTCTGAAGATTTGTTTTTCTAAATGAAATTCTAATTCTGAAAACTATGTTTATTTCTCTTCTAATAGTAGTAAGAATACTGGTTAAGTCCTAGAGATTGAAAGACTGGTCAGGGAAAATGAAAACAGAACCCCCCCCCATCTCTCCCATCAAGTTCTAACCCTAACCCCTCCTATAGGTCACCAGTAATTTGTGCCATGACATGGGCAAGATCTATGACATAGCGTTATCTTGTTTTCTCGTCTATAAAATAAGAGGGTTGGAAAAGATCACCTCCAATGTTCTTTATGGATCTGATGATCAATGACCCACAAACCTAAAAGGCAGGCAAAGACTTTGTGATCTTCTCTCTGACTCACAGGCAGAGAGAAGCAGAACTGTATAGAATCGTGGAAGACACCAGGGCCAGGAATATACCAGTAATAACCAAGTCTACAGATCAGTTTATTTGGTTTAGGGAAATCAATTTAAGCAGGAGTTCTATAATATATCTGTTTGTGAAGGAAAATTCTCTTAAGCCTCAGACTATAGCGTTTCATTGCTACCTGATTTATTCTTAACGATGAGTATTAGTTATACATTCAAACACACTGTCTGATACACCCTTGACAGTGAGCAGAGTAAGCTATAAGCTCAAGGAACAGCAAGACCCCATGTGTCACTGAAATTAGCAACATTATTTCACTCTGAAATTGGCCTGTTAACTCCCAAGGAAGCCATCCCTGGGAAATACAATGATAGAAGACTTACCTGCATATTTTATTGGCATCATTTCCTGGGGAGAGACCAAAAAAAATAGAGGGAAGGAGCAAGATAAATAAAAATATATTTGTGACATTCTAAATGTAATTGTCAAATTCTCCCTTAAAACTGAAGGAAGTACAATCAGTAGCTTGATGTATAAAATTAGCTAGGTGACATAATTAAGGATGCTTTTCCTATTCAGTTTGTTATTCTGCAAAGTTCCAGCCTTGCCGGAAACTAAGGAACATTCACTTAACTCTCTCATACTCTTTGTTAATTAATTCTCATGCTGTTCGTGTTCCTATAAACGGGGCACCAAATCTTCGTCCGTTCTTGTCGCCCCTCTAACCCGTGCACACGCACTCACACGAAATGTAGGTCTTAAAACAAGGAGCAAATAAAAAGCCGAATTACTACTTTCTCCATTTTCTTAAGAAAGCAGATGTTTGTTTCGATACCTACAGTATTTGAGGGTCTGGATTCCAGGTCTTCAGTCTTTTTATTCCGGTGCCTTCTCAACCTCCCTGGAAAATCAAAGATATTTCTGTCAGTCTCCGGTCTCAGCCTCGCAGCAAGCCTGGGAGAACAGACTCTCACACTAAGAGAAGTGGGAGAAGGAAGGAGAAACTCAGTGAAACTTCAAGTGACCAACACCCCAAGAAGCAGCCTTGTCCTGAAATCCCACCCCACGAGGTCAAATCTTCTAGAGATATGTCCCATTGTAAGTGAGCCATCTAATGGTCACACGCTGGCCTAGCCTGAAGCTGGCTTTTGTCTTACCCTATGGTCACCACTACTCCCTGTCACCAGAATAGAACTGGGGGCAATGGGGGGGGGGTGCGCGTGACAGGACTCAGAAGCCCCAGGATATGGAAAGTTGGCACTGAAGGTTCAGAAATTCAAGTGCATACACCCACAAATCCCTACAGTATACACAGTGCATGTGTGCCTCGAAGGCAGTATGAGATCAAAGAAAAGGAGTGGACACATCTCTGAGCACAGAGATCGCGTTGAAGCACTGAGCATGTATTTTTAGCCTCTGAAGGCAAGGTGACTTCTTTATCCTCACCTGGTCTGCAGAAACAGTGATGGGTTCCAACAGAGAAGGAAAACTGGATGCTTCCGAGTTATTAAGACTTGACACCCCTCTGTGTTTTCTGAGTGATTTCTGGGGATTTTTCATCATGGTTATGCTCCATTTGGGCTCACCTGTTGACTTTCCTAAGTAACCCTAGCATAAGCCCTATTGCCACAGTATTTGAAGTTAAGGTGGAGAAATAACAGTAAAAAGGCAAAAACCATGGAGTCTGACTGAACAAGGGCGAGGAGGCACAGAGAAGGCGAATTCAGCAAGTGTCCCTGCAGTGTTTCCCAGGAAGATCCTTGCTTCTCGTGCTCTCTAGGGGGCCATCTCTACGAGCCGGCAAGGATTCCTTCCTATCCCTGACCGGCTCCGCTGCTGCTGGGGTGAAAACCTACCCTTGTTCATATGGAGAATGGGAATATCCATTCTGAGCTCTAGAATGATTGCTCAAAAACAGGAGCCAAGGGATGATATCGTCTTGTTCTTATCAGCTCTCCGGGGTTCACTTAGTGGCGGGAATTTAGCAATATCATGGAGCCACCTACCTGGGATGAGCTTTCTCATGGGGAGGAGACAGAGGGGAGTTCTTATGAATCACTACTTTCCAAGTTATTTCGATCTGTAGTTGTTTGAACAAAGTTAGAACTTACACCAACAAGGGCACCTGGGTGACTCAGTGGGTTAAGCCTCTGCCTTCGGCTCAGGTCATGATCTCAGGGTCCTAGGATCAAGCCCCGAATCGGGCTCTCTGCTCAGCGGGGAGTCTGCTTCCCTCTCTCTCTCTCTGCCTGCCTCTCTGCCTACTTGTGATCTCTCTCTCCGTCAAATAAATAAATAAATAAAACCTTAAAAAAAAAAAAAAGAACTTACACCAACATATTAGCGCACCCATTAGAATCGGGATTAGGACACAAAACCACAGAAAGCTGGAGCTGGATCCTGTGGGTAGAAACATAACATTGAATGTGAAAATAAGCACTCTTTAAGATTAAACAGAGTACTCTCAAAGAATTAAAAGGGATTGGCTTTTCTTCGTATTTTACAGTAGGGATGAGAGAAAGAATGTAATCATAAAAAAGGAATAATAACCTTCTTTACATTTGGTGTTGCTGGTTGGTGTGCAATTCTCAAGGACTCCATGTTCACACCTAAAAGAAAAAAAAAAGAAAGAAAAGAAAACAAAAACTAACAGGGGCATCTGGGTCACTCAGTCGCTTAAGTGTTCAACTCTTGATTTCGGCTCAGGTCATGATCTCAGGGTCATGGGATCGAGCCCCACGTGTGGCTCCTGCGCTCAGCATGGAGTCTGCTTGAGATTCTCTCTCTCTCTCTGCCTGCACCCTTCCCCCACCACTTGGATGCGTGTGTGTGTGTGTGTGTGTGTGTGTGTGTCTCAAAATAAATAAAGTCTTTAAGAAAACACAAAAGAAATTCAAAAAGCCAGACGGACTGACTCCTTGATCATCTGCAATGACACACTCTAAACTAGGGCCATTTTATTCATCTTTGCATCTCCAGCAGACACCATCCCTCAAATAATGACAGATTAACGTCTAAGCCAGTATAAATTCATAACATAATTTGAATGTTGGATGAAAAATATCCTAAAGAGTAACTGTTTTAGAATACCAAGAGTTGGGGTACCTGGGTGGCTTAGTCAGTTAAGTGTCTGCCTTCAGTTCTGGTCATGATCCCGGGGTCCTGGGATTGAGTCCCACAGTGGGCTCTGCGCTCAGCAGAGAGTCTGCTTCTCCCTCTCCCTCAGCCCCTTCCCCTGCTTGTGCTTTCTCTCTCTCAGTTAAATAAATAAAATCTTAAAAAAAAATACCAAGAGTTAAAGGAAAGTAATCAAATATTGACAAATAGGAGAAAGGATGAAATAGACAAAGATTTAAAACTGGTAGTAAATTGTGGTCTTAAAATCATAAACTGCTATTTCAAAACAGTCCCACCGAACAATAAAATGACCGGACAACAGCCCTTGCCTGTGATGCTGCTTAAAAAGCCTATCCAGCCAGCCCTCCGAGGGTTCGCCTCTCACCAGCAAGCGGTGATTGGGACCCTCGAAAGGAAAATCCTTGGGATTTCCTTCAGACGATTGGATTGCCAGACTGAATGACAGCCTGGTTCAGCTCATTCCTTAACTCCGTGCGCTTGGGTGAGTCGCTTAACCACCGTGAGAGCCTGTTTTCTCATCAATAACAAGTAGATTACATTACAATATCAAGGATGGTTATAACGAGAAGAAAATTAAATTGAGATTATGAGGTATTTAGAACTATTATCACAGTTTTCTCTTGAATAATGTGGGGGTTGGGGCACTCAGCCCCCCCCAATGCATAGCTGAATATCCTCGTATAATTTTTTACTCCCTCAAAACTTAACTACTAATGGCCTGCTGTTGATCAGAAGACTTACTGATAACATAAACGGTCGATTAACACATTTCGTATATTACATGCATTCTAGACTGTATTCTTTCAATGAAGGAAGCTAGAGAAAAGAAAATGTTACTTAAAAATCAGGAGGAAGTGGCACCTGGGTGGCTCAGTCAGTGAAGCATCCGACCCTTGATTTCGGCTTAGGTCACGATCTCAGGGTTGGGAGATCGAGCCCTATGCTGGGCTCTATACTGGGCATGGAGCCTGCCAGGGAGTCTCTCTCCCTCTCATTCTGCCCTTACCTCCCCACCCTGCTCATGTTCTCTCTCTTTCTTTAAAAAAAATAAATAAAAACAATAAAATCCTAAGGAAGAGAAAATACATTTACAGTGCTGTACTATACTTATAAGTAGAAAGAAATCGCATATAAGTAGACCCACATAGTTCAAACCCATGCTGTTGATGGGCCAAAGCATTATTATTTAAGCACGTCCATCCCTCCCCCGCAGTCCCCTCTTCTGCCGTCATCACGAGGCACTCTCAGCCATGGGAGGGCTAGAAGGGAAAGACTAGGTGAACTGCACGTAATTTTAAATTTCTAGTCAATAGAAGACATAACCTTTCATGTCCCTACTTCTCAAGTCAACTAGGTGAACTCCTAAACGTTTCCTGAGGCAAAATACAAGTTTAAGGAGAGGCACATGAATATAATCCTAAATGTTTATATTGGTACCACACAATATCTTACAGAACAAAAGCTACTTTCCAGCACACACCACTAAGTCCATGCTTCACAGAAATGAGAAGTGAATACCATTTGCTTCCCCTGACAGAGGGATCAGATGCTCAGAGAGAGAGGTTCAGTGACCTGCTCAAAATCATCCAACTAATCAGAAGAAAAGTGAGATATACCATCAGGTTTTCTAACTTTGGGTCCAAACCAAGCTCTTCTGTGTAACAGGCATGGCCCTTCGTGGTCTGGCCCTGGGTGTTTCTTGCTACCCTCCAGCGGTACTCTGCTCTCTGGAGTGGCCGTCTGTCTTTCCGCAGATGCTCCTCTGCTACCTGAAATGTCCTGACCATGTTGGTACACCTGGGAATGTTCTTTCTTTCCTGTCTCAAGACTCCCACCATGTGTCCTATCTTCACCCACCCCGTCGGGCAGAGCTGGAAGGTTCTCTGTAGAACTCGTAACAGCCTGACACATGTCTTTTCTGGTTCTTGACCCCATAACCATTGCTTTTCTTGACTCTCTCTGCCTCTCACCTGGGACCCTTGATGCCAGGAATGAGGCTTGCTTGTAACACTTTTTAGCTTCAGCAGCATGCAGTTTCGAGCACATAGGAGGTGTTTGATAAATGTTTGGAGACTGGACGTCTAGTTATCTAGCGGCTCGGAGGCAAAGTAAGACTAGAACCCAAATTCTGGACTCTCAACCAGCGTTGCTTCCCCCTGGGAAGACGTGGTCTGTCCAGGTGTATCTAGCACCGTGATCAAAGAAAGATGAAAACTTACGTGGTGCATGGGGTACAATGTTCGCACTCAGAGACGTTACAAAAAAAGTTTGGTTTACATCTGCACTTGGTGTTCTGGCTCCGGGTACAGTTTCTCTCCACTTCCAACCCTAGAAAACCAGTTTGCAGACTATTAATTCTCGCAGCTGGTGAGCAGGGGCTGCCTGAGGTTTGGAGATCTCCCGCTTCCATCAGCACACCTTTTGCAATGCGGGGAGTGTTTACATGCCAAACCAGAGATCCCAGCAGAGTTTTAAGTGGACAGACAGTCCAGCAGCCGACACAATCCCACTTCTGCTTAAAGAGTTCCCCTGTTCTTCCAGAGCCTGGCTGCTTAGGGCGTGGCTGTTTGACCAGCAGCCTGGGCCTCAGTCGGAAGCCTGTTAGAAATGCAGAATATCAGTGGCACCTTGTTGAAGCATCTGACATCTGCTGGGATCGTGATCTCAGGGCTCTGGAATCGAGACCTGCATTGGCCTCCCCGCTCAGTGGGGAGTATCTTTTCTTTCTCCCTCTGCACTCTCCCAACTCATGCCTGCTCTCTCTCTCAAATAAATGAACAAAATCTTAAAAAAAAATGCAGAATATCAGACCCTACTCTGGACCTAGCCAGTCAGAGCAAAAAGAAAAGTTTCATGTCCAGACATGTCTTGATATCACATGACACTGGGAGTGTTTCTGTTACATTTGAATCTGGGCTCTCACGATAGAGGACGTGCATAAAAATTCAGGTCCTTGGTTGGAATGATCAGGACAAAATCAACCTCCAAAGCAGGGGGAGGGAAAGCATCCCACCTACCCCTTGGATTGCTCTGTCCTTGTATCAGAAGGCTTCCAAGCTCTTGCTGGCTGTAACAAGAGCACTGATCAAGGTGGGAAAAAAAAAATCTCTGCCAATTTTGATTATAGCTGATGAACCCTATTCACCAGGTTCATATTCAGTCATCTTGGGAGAAATGCCTAGATTTGACCCAGAAATGTCTAGACCGGCGATGAGCTCGGTACCTGTTCCTGCTTTGCTCCAGCCAGCTCCATCCTATCCTTTCCTCCATGCCAACCCAGCCCAGAGTAGGTCCCATTTCAGACCGTATTATAACTGGCTTTATTTGGAGTACCACACTGGTATTTCGGATCGATTTTTAAGATGCTTACCATGCTCTCCATCACAAATTCGACATCTTCTGCATTTATCTGAAAAATGCTTCTCTTCCGTGTACTCCTCCCCTTCCTGGCAGGCCACACATTTTGACTCGCCCCCCACAGATTCACAGTCACCCTCCTTCCGTGTGCCTGCCCCAGAAAAAAACACAGCAAGCGTTGGAACACGAGGAACACAAACGACAGGCAACAGCGTGGGAGATATGCGAGGATGGCAAGGAAAGGGAATCAGGACGGTCAAATTAATGATACAGCAATACAGCAGGAGAGAAGGCTGGCATAGAAGTCATGTCACCAGACAGAAAGTCTCCCAAGACAAAAGCTCAGAGAGTGACTCAAAGAATATGACTACAGACATAGGATGATTAGCAATAGGAATACATATCTTTTAAAGGGTTACAACGACCAAATGCGCTGGAAGAAATGCATCTAGCAACTTGGTTTGCAAGGAGGCAGGGGTTTGTATTCATTCCTCTTTCTATTCCTTTGCTTTTAAGGCACAGAGCATGTTTTGATGGGAAGGTGTGAACATAAATGCCAACTTTTATCATCAGATGGCATTTATCGTACTCCACACGATTGTAAATAATATTCGCATTCGCTTCACTTGTCAAATAAAGCGAGGCACTGTATTGGTGTTCGTAAGTCGTAGGCAACAATGCTTTCTACTGAAAATTCGTTGATTTAGCAAGGGTTTATTAAATGACTAGTGTGTATCAGGCACTTTCTAGGGCCCAGAGATCCTACAGGAAGGAAGACAAAGCCTAGGTCTGCAAGGGCTTCATGTTGCTGGGAAAGAAGTAGATCATGCCCAGATCAGTGTATGATGTCAAACGGTGGTAAGTGCCTTGGGGAAACTGGATTAGGGCAAGGCGATAGAAGACGAAGAAGAGACAGAAAATATGAAGGAAAATCAAAGAGGAAAGCCAGTCTTGTGGCTCTCATTATTCATGGTGTAACTAATTAAAAAGAATTGACCCACACATGTGTGGGCATGGGCAAAAACAATTTACACTCTTTCCTGGGTACAAGACTTTCTTAACAACCTCGTCGCATTCTTTCCGAGAAAACAAAATACTACACAAGCAAGTGATGAAACTGAAACAGAGGTGATACTGTAGTCAGCAAAGGCAATAGTGTGTCAAGAGCATAAAGTAAGTTGTAAAAACTCAGAACCAAATTCAAATATCGAACATCATTGAACACTGGGGCTGTGTAACATCATAGCAGTGTTTAAGGACACCAAGCCAAAGTACAATTTTGTTGGCTTGCCAGTGGTATTATACTGGTTTCTAAACGAACTGGCCGCCTTAATGAATTACTTTGCAGAATAAAGTCTAGCACAATGCCTATGGCACGAGAGTAAACACAGGGTTTTCTCTCCTCCAAAGTGCGCAACCTCAATGTATCAAATATTTATCAAAATATATGGTTATTTTCTTTTGCTTTTTAATTCTTTTTTTTTTAATTTAAAGAGAGAGTGAGCGGGGGAGGGGCAGAGAAGGAGAGAGAGAATCTCAAGCAGACTCTCCGCTGAGCACAGAGCCTGAGGCAGGACTCGATCCCACGACCCTGAGATCCTGACTTGAGCCAAAATCACGAGTTGCAGCTTAACCGAGTAAGCTGCCCAGGCATCCATGAGTGGTTGTTTTCGTGAAAGTAAGATTTTAAAATACATTGTTTCTTAGTGTAATAGTACCTATGCTCAATGTGGAGAATTTGGAAAAGTTCGGGAAGTATAAAAAGAAGCTGTATGTCAGCCACTCTGAGAGATTCATGGTTCTCATTGTGGCACATCCCTACACGTATATACCCATCATACATGTGAACGTATGTGCATGTAATATGCATGTGTGTGCGTGTATAGTATGTGGTGTACCACAGAGTCCTTCTGATTGGATAAGGTAATGCGATGAGGACTTTTTGATCAGTTAAAGCTGTCAGTTCAAGTAGGGCATTATTGAAAAAAATACCGTAAATATTTTAATTTACGAAGTATAATGTGTAATTATTGGCCAGTCTCATGGCCTAAGAAAAAAGGTAGTAAGAATTCCAGATTCTTCCTCATGTAGGTGACATTTAAAAGGCCTCCTTTCCTGTTTTTCTTTCTCTTCATTCTTCCCTGCCTCCTTCCCCTTCTCCTTCCCTCCCTTTTTTCCTTTCTTCCTTTCTTTTTGATGGGAATAAACCCTCACAGATACCAATAATTTGTATGACAGGCTTTCCAGGGTTTTGTGATTTTTTTTCATTGATTTTGACCTCATCTCATTCATCAACAATTCTTTTAGCTGCTTACCTGGAACAAAATCCACCAAGCATTCAAACGAGCTTATATAGAAGTAAAATCTGTCTTTTCTCTGCATTTGTCCAGCATTGGTTTAAACACTAGTTAATTAAATTACATGTTAATATCACGACACCAATGAGCATAAAGACTCGGAAGCAATTTGAATAGCGATAAGCCTACAATTCAACAAGAGAGAACAGAGCAGAAAGAGGAGTAGCGTGCGCTGGACACCACCCAGGATTCTTAGAGATGGAGAAGAGAGAGCCAGTTAATTCAGCAGGCAGGTCACTTAGAAATCCCGTCAGGGGGCGCCTGGGTGGCTCAGTGGGTTAAAGCTTCTGCCTTCGGCTCAGGTCATGATCCCAGGGTCCTGGGATTGAGCCCCACATTGGGCTTTTTGCTCAGTGAGGAGTCTGCTTCCCCCTCTCTCTCTCTACCTGCCTCTCTGCCTACTTGTGATCTCTGTCAAATAAATAAATAAAATCTTTAAAAAGAAAAAAAGAAAGACCCCTTGCAGGGGGCACCTAGGGTGGCTCGGGCGATTAAGCATCTGACTCTTGGTTTTGGCTCAGGTCATGATCTCAGGGTTGTAAGATGGAGCCCTGCTGTGGGCTCTCTGCTGGGCGTGGAGCCTGCTTGAGATTCTCTCTCTCCCTCCACCTGCTCTCCTTCTCTCAAAAAAAAAAAAAAAAAAATCCTTCAGGAAATTTCTACATTGAGACTTATGTCAGAAATATATGAGAAAATGTGACATAACCGATGGAGATATTCAACTTTTGAACACTCCAAAATGTGCTTAACCAATCCCCCATCACTGAGTATCACAATGGAACGTCATGCATACAGTATTTTCCTTTGACTATTTTTAAAGACATTCTCCCCGTAAATTTATTACTACTTCAGGAGGCATGAACATTTCCGAGTTTCCAACCCACATATCCGAATTTCTTTCTTAAAAGACTGTAACAATTTACCTTCCAATTATGGTTTTATGAGAGTTCTTATCCAACAAGAGCCACCAGGGTGGAAAGCACTTCTTCCGGGGAAAATAAAACAAAGCAAAACAAAAGAAAAGCAGACAGACAAAAATCCTTGATGGTCTGAAGGGCAAAGCATATTATCTTTCTTTGAATTTGCATTTTAAGGTTTTAAAAACAGGACCAAGGACCTCAAGTCCTAGGGCAAATAGATGACGTTTGGCAAGACATTAAAAGGTCAGAAAGCCATTGTCTATTCCCTTTTGGAGAAAGTAAATGCAAATAGGCTTAAGTATAAATGGGTTGGATTATAGGAAGATTTTCCGTGAGGGTTTTTAAAAGTGGACAGGAGGCCAAGGGAGACTAGTAGAATCTTTATAAAGAGGGTCCACGCCTGTTCAGCTGTGGGAATGCTAGAAGCCTGGCATGCTCACCACCAAACCTACTACGGACAGTCCCTCCTGGCTCCATTCGTCCACAGCAGCAACCTGCGTGCTCCTTCCTTTCATCTTCCTCTCGTACTTCACAACACGACCAAGAGGGAGCCATCTCTATAGGAGATGGTAGTCAGCTCTACTCCACATTGAAAAAAAGGTTTACGCCATTGCATGTTGCAAAGCTTCTAATCGGCTAGTGTTTGAAGGATTTCCGATCTGAAATTGGTTTGCATTTCAAAATTCTGGTGTTAAAAATTTTTTGGGTTCTGTCCATTGCTTTTCTAGCTCATCTAGTTTCAGCTGCAAAAATGCAAATGTATTTTGCAGGCTTCAGAGACCTTCTGGTGGGAGGGAACGGCTAGACACGGCTCTCAAGGAGGGGAGGGTCCTCGCTTTCAGAACGCCTCAGTTACGATGACACATTTTCATAGTTCTGTTGCAATAAGCTTTAATACCCACAAAGGAGTCTTTTTTTTTTTTTTCCTCCTCAAAAATGGAGTTAAAGAGAGAAATCCTCTCCCTTCAGGGGCGCATGTCATTTGCAAATTCCTTTCCTTCCTCTCCCCAGCAAGCAGGGTAAAGCTAAACTCAGCTAGTCTCGGGAAAGTAATTTCCTGGTGGTTTTTCTTCCCAGTAATGTTACGATGCGGGAGAACCAAGCACTGTGAACCGTTTGTTCTTTTCATTATCACTGTTTGCTTCTCCTCGCCCTGATTGTCAAGCTAATTGTGGGCTGCTGGGTGGAACATACCAGGAGGACATGGCTGACAGCAGACTCTCTTCTCACCATGCTGACCTTCCGAGCACCCCGTCTCCCTTATGGTAATGTTCTTACGAAATCTCAATGCCTTGGAGTTGACAGCAGTTGCCTGAGCACTGACAGCTTTAGGCCATGGTCCAGCAATGGAGGTAAATATCTGTTAAGGAAAAGCATGAGAAGAATGTTATTGACTTCCTTCCCAACTAGACAGCTTGGACAACAGGTGTTAAGTTGCCCCATGGGGCTATGTCTGAGGCTGCAGAGACTAAATCCATGGGGGGTGGGGGCTCCATCCTTCTACTTGCACATCTCTGGAAAAGGGATGGTCCAAACTACTCTGGAAACAGCATCATGGATGGTGGCAGCCAGGGCTGTGGGTTCGAAAGTGAACCCTGGCTCTCACCTACCAGCCTTGTCGCTGTGGTTCGTGAAGTCACTTAAATTCTCCGAGTCTCCATTGCTTTATCTGTAAAGTGGAAATCATCTCCTCTTCACGGTTTGTTGTGCTCATTCAATGCACTGAAAACTCTTAGCGTGATTTCTGGCACATAATAAATAGATGTCCAGTAAATGGTATCGTTATTAATTTATTAATTATTATTATTGTTATCATAATGAAGTTCTAGTGAGGAACAACATAGTCAAGTAGGAAAAACCATGAAACTTCAAAACGATGGCAGCATGAATCCCAGCTCTACTGTCAGCTTGCTGACTTTAGGCAAATTATAGAACCAGGTGGCCTCAGTTGTCTGACCTGGAAGTGACGATGGCACTTTCTGTCTTGAAGATAAAAAGTGATAATTTCTCCCAAGCCTGGTTCTTATTTTATAGCATGTTCTATTTCTTCTCTCTTTATACATAACCACAGAATAAACAATTTTGATGAACTCCTGTCTGGTTCACCAACCATACAATGTATCTCATGGGATTTTCTTCACCTTTGCTCAGGAAAAAAAAAAAAATGAACTTCTTTTAGTGGAGAACCAATCTTTAATTTATTTGGGCTTCCTTTCTTCTGAAGGTGAAAGTCCGTCGGTCTAAGGGATATTGTCTCAGAATTATCTCATGAGTTATAGACTAGAATTCCTTAGAAAAATGAGCCCTCTAAGATGTATGGAAGCATTTGGGAATAATCGTTAAAAAAAAAAAAAAAAAAAAAAAAAACTCTCCCCAGTTGGAAGAGACCAGGGAGTCCTGTTTGCAACGGATAATGGAAAACTGAACCTAAGCAACCCGACTGAGTAGAAGCTGTTCTTTCCTACTGTCAGCCGCCCCCACTGCTGTGAAGGGGGGTTCACAGGGAGATATCACGAGCTCTCCTCTTTCGATTCTGGTGTCTCATCAGAAATTGAAGAAACCGGTACAGGCTTAAATTCAGAAGCGATTGATAGGGATTGAGCAGGCCAAAAGCGAAAAGCACTGAAAGTTGATAGTTGATGCCCAATCCCCAGCCTCTCCTTCGTATTCTAATTCCATCCAGGATTCCTGAGACAATATCAACCGATATTAGACAATATTAGCCGATAAGCGCTCAGGACAGCAGCACATTTCACATTTATGGATCGTGACATGGATGCTATTTCTGGAAAACTCCATATCCTGTCAACTTTCTCAAGCCGTCTAAAGCAAATGTGTGCCTTCCCTCATTTTTTTTTTGAAGTTTCTCAGTGGGAATCAAGATCCACCATCCAAAATCCGTCCAGGATTTGAGGAACGCGAAGCCTGGGGAGGTAACGCTGAAAGTCAGGACTACCACTGGCCTCGAAGGGCAGACACCAGCATGCAGCTCGGCTCGTGTCTGATCACGGCCGGGTCTCAGAGCTGAATTTCTGGAAACGTTTCTTACTTAGTTCAGCCTCAAAAACTGTCTTCAAGTAGGAAAAAGAAAGCTGGTTTAAAGAGCATGTGGGAGCTGCTGCCCAAGGTGAGGCCAGCACTGCTCCAAACACCTTGTATTTGCTTTTTAATCATTGCATTAACTCAAGTTTGCAATATCCAAAGATTTAACCCAAACCGTCCAGACAGTAACTGCGTTTTGACTGTGACAAGGCAGGAAACCCACAAAGGACAAAATGATCGGACTGCTCAGAAAACTTATTTTCAGAAGAGCTGAAAAGGCCAGAAAATGGATAAAGTGAACGCCCTGGAAAATGTGAATTAACTAAGTCACATGATCACCAAATGGGAAAGAAATGAGGAATAACAAGCTTTATATCTCCATCATCCTAAAGATGAAAAAAGTCAGAGAAACCTCGATTGCTTATTCTGCTGGGAATATTCGCTAATCCATTAATCAAATTAATGAATTGAATGACTACTTTGTTGGGCACCTACTAGGTGCCAGACACGTAGCTGGAAACAGCCCAGTGAACAGATAAGGACTCTGCTCTCATAGGGTTTATATGTTAGTGAGGTATGTTAGGGTTCTCTAGAGACAAAAACAAGTCCCAAATCTGATCCGGTAAGCCACCAGGCTGGAAAGTCACGGAGAATCGCAGTTCAAGTCCAAAGGTGATCTGGAGGCAGAACTTCCTCTTCCTCAGGGGACCACAGTCTCTATGCTGTTAGGCCATCGACCGACTGGATGAAATCCACCCGCATTGGGAAGGGGATCTGCTTTACTCAGAGTCTACCACCTGAAATGTCAACTCCTCAAAAAACGACAGTGGCAGAAAACAAAACCAAAACCAAAAAACACCTTCACAAAACATCCAGGGTAAGGTTGGAGCAGACGTCCGAGCTCACGTCTGAGTCACAAGGACACGTGAAATGAAGCATCACATGGAGGGAGATGAATCACCAGAGAAACAGGGCCTCTGCGGGGGAGGGATTCGTGCTGTGTAAAGCAATAAAGCAAGCTTGGGGGCATGGAGAGTTTGAAGGGTGGGGCAGGGCGGTGTTAGAAATCGTGGCCCAGGAAGGCCACGGAATGAGAGGGTGTGTGCTCCCGTGGTGAAGGAAATGTGGGTAGGAGCTGGCTTTCGGGAAAGAGCTGTCCTGGCGGGTCATACCCAGAGGAACTCGGCCTGATCAAGATGAGGGAGAACCTCACGTCCTCAGCAAAACCATCGTTAGCAAGTAGGTGTGAAGATAAATAAAGATCTCTGTCTCCTGAGCCACACAAGTCATCAGGCTTTTGCCGATGGAAGCCATGGGGGGATTATATGGCCAACCTTTACCCCTAGATGCCGCAGTCTCGTGGACTCCTGGAATGTCAGAGCAGGGGGACCATATGCACCTGTTCAGCGGCAAGACAGATTTCAGAAAATGGACTGTCTTAGGTCTTTCGTTATCTACAGGAAGTTAATGTTTTCTGCAAATCTAGAAAATGTGCCTCTTTCTCTCTCCTGACTCACCCATGAAAATGTGAAGTGAGGGGCACCTGGGTGGCTCAGTGGGTTAACCCTCTGCCTTCGGCTCAGGTCATGATCCCAGGGTCCTGGGATTGAGCCCCGCATCGGGCTTTTTGCTCAGTGGGGAGCCTGCTTCCCCCTCTCTCTCTCTACCTGACTCTCTGCCTACTTGTGATCTCTGTCTGTCAAATAAATAAAATCTTTTAAAAAAGAAAGAAAGGAAGAAATAAAGAAAGGAAGAAAGAAAGAAAATGTGAAGTGAGAGCCAGTCCGTGGAGGGAGGTTTTCCCTTTCCCCCAGGACCTATGATGGGCCTGTTAACAAAATTCCTTAATATATGTCTCCTTGTGGTAGTTTCAAGAAGCCTCTGCATGAGGAATTCTTACTGTCTTATTTTATGGTTGAGGAAGCTGAGCACAGAGTATGAAAAAAGACCTATCCAATAATCCGCAGTGAGGAGAGGCCGGGGGAAAGCCGGCACCTCTGACCCGGACCTGGCCTCTGTTTTAGGTTCGTAAATCAGCTTCCTAATTATTTCTACTCCATTTAGGGGAACCAACAACTCAATTTGTTTTCAGAAAGATAACTGTTGACAAAAAGCCCAAGTGTTAATTATACAAAGAACCTTCAGGGGTGCCTGGCTGGCTCAGTCGGTTAAGTGTCTGACTTCAGTTCAGGTCATGATCCCAGGGTCCTGGGGTCAAGCCCCACGTTGGGCTCTCTGCTCAGTAGGAAGCCTGCTTCTCCCTCTCCTTCCGCCTGCTTCTCTCCCTGCTTGTGCTCTCTCTCTCTCTCTCTGTCAAGTAAATAAGTAAAAAAGTCTTAAAAAAAAAAAAAGAATCTTCAAAGCAAATGCATATTTTGGATTGGGGAGGGTGTCTGGCAGGAACTCTCTGAGAACCAGAAGTCAGTCTCAGTGTAAGGAGGCTGTAGCAGGGCCCCCCAAGGCTGGGGTTCTGGCTGGCACGGCAGGGAGGCAGAAAGTTCGCACCCCTGGTCTGCAGCTGGGAAAGAAGTGGGGTTTACACTTCCTTTCCTCCAATTGGGGTGCTGAGTTTCTAAGAATGGCCACGACGCCCGCTGGGACTGCAGTCCTTTGCAGGAGTGGAGGTCTGAAATGCACAAATAGAAACCCCAAGTCTTCCTAGACTAGAATCTTGGCACTGACTCCCTTTGAAACTCAGTGACAGGCCTACAAGAGAGTTTGTCCCTTGTATCAGTGGATGAGGAATTAAGAGAATAACTGGGCATTCATTAGTTATCTGCATCAGGGATGGACCATTTTTCAGAGCCAACCAGGGCACTCAATACAAGAAATGAAGCCGGCAGAGTCAGACCCAGAAATTGAAGACCGCCTCCCACCCCGTACCTCACCCTGGGTTGCCAAGCTGTCCGCCCATTGCCAGGACTCATAGCACTGGAGATCTCACACGACAGTTTCAAATACTGTAACATCTCAGTGCCTGAATTAAGCGAACTTTTGGAAGAAATTGAGAATACCTTTGGATTACAAGAATCGATTGGCCTGAGAGATGAGCTAAGATTTGAAAAGGAAGTTTAAAAAAAAAATCACTTTTTTTTTTCCTGTTCTTAGTGAAGCTCGAAGCAAACAGGAAAATAATTTTTTAAAAGCAGCAAGTTAACAAAAAGAAGATATGAGGCAGTGAAAAATGCAAGAATGGCAAGAATGACTAAGAGATGCCTGAAGAGTCAGTGAATTTTTTCAAGATCAAGCTCTGTCCTCTGCTGCTGAGGACATAAATGGCCCAAGAAATGACACTCAGCTGACTAACTCTGCTTGCTC